AATTATTGCATTGACAAGCCCTAAAAATGCATCCATGAATATTTCTGAAAACATTCACAATTAACGAGGAACGATTAGGAAGGTGAATACTAATCAATGCATGGTAATGCTTGTAAACCGTGTTGGCTTGATTTAGATCTCATTTTTGCTTTTAACAATAATCAGGTCGTTGTTACAAATCATGTTGCAATTGCTACATGAAAATTCATCTAAAATTTACTTCCGTTCATCCGTTTGAATATTTATTGGGAAAGGATTAAACCAGCGTTTTACTTGAAAAGCGTAAGGGGGGAAATATAAAGGTATACTATATACCATAAAAATAATATTTTAAATTTAAAACCACCAAGGTATTAACTATGATGATGTGACAGATTACATCATATTTGAGGGCTCAGGATTGTGATTGAGTCTGCAACCATAAGATTTGCATACCATTCATTCTGATCATGTAAGTTTTCTATGGGACAAGGAAATAGAATTAGCCAACAGGAAGACTTAGCCGATTGATAAAATGATGTTTCATTTTCCGGCTCACAATACATCACTTTGAGTTTCAAGAGAGAAGGATCCAAGCCATTATCAAGTGCTACTTTAATTTGAAACGGTAAACTCTTTACTAATGTTTTTACTAACTAGGTATAAGTTTTCTAGCTTTAAGCACTACAATATTCTGCATGATAGGATTTGGTTTTTACTGTGAAAACATTTTTACTTTTCAGCAAAGCTTAAAACGAATAAGCAAATCTGATATACGTATATGCAAACATTTTTTTTACTTTGCTGCCGCTTATTTTTAAACAGCACAGTAAGATTTATGCTACGACTTTTCAGATGAAGGGAAACTAAATATTTTTTTGTTTTTGTGCGGTTTTTTGAGCATGAATGCTTGGGATATGTGACAACTTTGAGGAAGAACGCTACGCTCTCCTTTTGACATAACCAGGCAGAAAATACGTGCATGCGTAACATTTTTACGCGTTTAATATAAGCCTAAATGTTGTACAACAGGCGTATACAATAGAATTTTGGTTCAGGTATTTTTTTTGTTCCATGTTATAGATCTATCCAGGTCGTTAGGAAGGATACGTCCAAACTTAACATTTTTGTACGGTTTTTTATAAGCTGGTTCGCAGGACATATGCAATTGAATTTTGGATCAGGAATACTTTGTGCTGTATTATTGACCTATCTAGGGCGATAGAAAATAATTTTCCAGATTTTTGCTTATGTGACATTTTAGTGACATCCTGTCAAATTAAGTTTGATGAAAAAACACAAAATTATTGATAAAGGCTCTGACTCGAGCCCCGTTTACACTACACTGAATTTATCGGCACGGCACGGCTAAAATGGGCACCCGTGCTCAATTTTATTAGTGTTCAGGCTACCAAAACAAAGGCCGAGTACAGATGAAATGGGTACGGGTGCCCATTTTAGCCGTGCCGTACCAATAAATCGAGTGTAGTGTAAACGGGGCTTCATATTGTTTAATTAAACTGTTCAAGTTGTTTTAGCCGTTATCTGGTGAACGGACTATAATGTAAAGCATCGTTTTTGTATTAAAAAAGTTTAATATGAAAACTTGCACACAACTATACTAAACAGATAAATTATGCTCACGCCTAAAAGAGTATTGTTCAGCTAGGCTTCTATACTAGGAATGGCGCCCTATGATGCCTGTGTAAAGACATGTATTCGATCTAATTATCTAACTTTGAAATATTCATTTCGAAATTTTTCCAATGAGTATTTTACTAATATTTTCCAATGACATATATTTAATTGGAAGGTAGGCTAACCACATCACAAATAATTATAACATGGTATAAAAAGAACCTTCGTCCAAACGTTGAGTGTTTTTTTTTTATTTTGGACATTGTTTCGCAGCACCAATTTTGATTCAAATCAAGGTTAATTAAAACTTGAAAACAACATCACTAAACGCACGATGCTCACACCTAAAAGGGTATTGTGCCTTCACAGTTTAGTGCATGTTCCTATACTAGGAACGGCGCACTATTATGCCTAAAGAAATGTATTCTGTCTAATTATTTAACTTTAAAATATTCATTTAGAAGCTCCCCATTTAGAAGTTAAGTGGGTTTTTTTTCATTAAATTCGTTGCAACACTCATTTTAACAAATTTAAATTTGAATGAGGAATTTCGTAATATTCCGACCATGATAATAATTATTTTACCTAATCCTACGTACTTTTTTACTTACCACAAAACGTAACACAACGATAAACACGAATGAATCGAACTTTTTATTACGCTGTCGTTTATTGAGGTTGGCTTATTTTTTGCAAAAGAGTTCATTAAAAATTAAGATTTATATATATTAATTAATATATAAATACCATACTGAAATCCCTCATGATTGCCATTCTATGTGCAGTGCATTTGTATAGCTAGCTATAAACAATTGAAGCAACGTTTCTACGTTTTAAACGAACGAACTACGTTATGAAGAGATATAGCTAGTGTGTTTCGTTCCAGTAAAAACGATAACAAACTTCATAGTTTGACACGTACTCTGTCATATATGTATATATGTAGCCGGATGAAGATTCGTGGATAATTATTCCCATGCACCACGATTAAACATAAAAAGAACTTAATAGAGTTTCTTTTAGAACTTCCGTATTTAAGCTATTTCTTTGTAATAAATTATTTTAGGCAATCAGTAGCTACCAATTATGAATTCAATCAAAAGTAATTATAGGTGGGCTTTTTAAAAGATAAAAATGATTATTTCTAAATCTAAATTCAGTTATGAAAGAAATTTATATTAAATCAAGAATAAGTGAAATGTCTTGCGAAAAGTATTAGAAACTAATTTTCAGCGAAGTAGATTGCGTTTTCCCCCTCGGTTAGGCGAAAATATTTACTGAACGGTGAGTAAGAAACGAATGCATAGCTCCAACAATAGCTAAAATTTAGCAAAAACAATGTGACGCCTACGACGCCGTGAAAATGGCATAATTATATAACCAAAACAGAACCATTGATGGACTTATCACGCAATATCCACGCCTTTTTCACGACGTGTTGCATCTCACGTCGTCTGCTGAATTTCACTATTATAAATAAACCATAACAACTCATTTTAAATTTCACGTGACAACCGTGTACCTCTTTACCGATATAATTGAATCAGCTTTGTCATATTGACAATAACAGATCAAAATACTGTTCCTGTTTGTTTTAATGAACATTATTATTGACAATGGAATATCCGGTACTTACTATTTTCATTTGGCTTCAATTTCTTCAAAGCGTACCAACGTTTGAATGCTACGAAACTCTCTGAGTTCATTTAATTATTCTTATAGATGTAGAGCGCGTCGCCGACCATTTTGCTCAATGAGTTTGCGATACGTTGCTGTTCAATAGCGGATGCACCAATGAATACAAACAAACTAACAATATAAACTTATAGTTATAGAATTAAAGACAGTGAAATTCACAAGATAAGCGTTTCTTTAATTTACACGTTTGGTAAAATCAGATACTGTGGCTTGCATCAAGATCAATGGCCCTGTGGTGACACTGAACTTAATTTACCTTTCATTTTGTGGATATTGTTCTTCCAGCGTAGGCCTCATAGACTCGTATACATATAGACATATATAGACATATATATAAACACTAAAATCCACAGGTTCCTGCACTTTCATGTTTCATTTAATTCAGAAAATCTATTAAAGATTAACCCTTTGCTAAAATCGACTACAAAAATTATAAATACTTCCCGAAATATGAAGAAGGAATTCGAAGAATAACCTTTCTTTATAAGCTAGCAATTTTCAATAATTATTAGTAATTTCCATATGCAAATTCACTTTAATTCCGTTGCCATAGCATTACAGGCATACGGCCGAAATAGTTGGCAATGGCAGGAATCCTCAAAACTGCAGCTGATTTATTTCAGTTTTAAGATGCAATAATTCTTCATATTAATCAAGCAATTAGCTTTATAATATGTTTTCATGGCCATAGTTTTTAAATATTATCGTTTGCCACCTTTTGTTACACGGTTTTTTTATAGACTTCATAATTATTCAATTGCCAAAGAAGAGCAACTTAAATAGACTATATAATAAGTTTATGTAAGGACTATATAAGGCGTTGCAGGAACAACGAGTACGTTGCAGGAACAACGAGTATTTCTTGAGTGTTTTTCACATATTTTGGCAATTCAGTCCATAAATATACAATATACGCTATTTATACCGAATTATCATTTCGTAATAAACGCCAGTACACACAGCATGTATAATAAGAACTCTCATTGGGACATTTTGTGTAATTTAATCATTCAATGACACATGCATGCAAAATTCAAATGAACTTGAAAGTCGAATTGCTCAGATATAGTCACAGACTGTAATGCTAAGATTGGGTTTTGACCAAACGTTCATTTCTTTCACCTTGATAGCCTGTTGATGTAAATGTTTTTTACATCGCTATTGCATTGATTTTCCTTTTGACTGAAAGTCTATATAATTAATAAATTCACAAGTTCTATAGACTCTCCGAACGGTTATATCTGTTTTGCAACAAATTTATGTAATATTTTCTTTCTCAAATTGAGCGATACTGATCTGAATAACTAAAAAATGAACCGCATGAGCACATACACCTCACCGCCTACCGCCTGCAATTCTAGACCTATTCCAAAAAGAGCAACTTGTTACGAGTTACGCGAGAACGAGGCTAGTCAGGTTTTCTTTTGGCAAAATTTCAAAACCATTTCCATATTTCTAAATTTTGACTGGAAAAACTTTTTGTGTAGCTTGCAACAGGTCCAGCGAAAAAGTGAGAAAATTAACAAGTTAGTTTAAATTAAGCCGAGGAAATCTGACTAGCCTCGTTCTCGCGTAACTCGAAACAGGCCTCTTGCCCTTTTTCGAATAGGTCTATAGTACTACCAGTTCAAAATTCACTATGTTGTTTTCAGGATAACTGCTTATGGCAAGTCATTTCACTTTTCAATTCTTCCTGCTCACCTTAGGTAAGCTATATTATAATATTACATGGCCATTCACAATTTCCTTGACCTTCTTACTGCTTGCATCTGTCATTACACTAAATAAGCAAGTTGTTGGAAACAACAGTTTTTCTTCCACGAGAGATGCCCAGAAGATCTTTGTAAGCAGTGTTAAATTGACATGCTTCGTAAAAATAATTTAACTTGACAAAAATACTTTACGAACGTTGAATATCTATCAGCTTTTGCTTACAGGAATACTAATTATAAATGCAACAGTCGAGGAGGGCTGGGAAAATAAATTCTTGGTGGAACAATCATGGGGAAACGAAAAATTTCAAAGTAAGGTTACTAATGATTATACTCAATGCAATGTGCCCACAATTGAATCAACGACTTACAGCCTGTTCAACTAGGATAAAATTGCTTCAATCATCGGAATTGATAAATTATTTACATTCTCCTATATCCTTGCCATTGATAGCAGAAAACAGCCGCTAAAATATATAGCGCAGCCTGTTATCCAACTGATTCCACGTGACGTATAATAAGCAAGCATGCATTTTCATACATACAATCACATGATTCGTATTGGCGTATTTTCGGGTCCTTTACTGGTACAAGAGTAAAACGGGCAAGGTGACTGATTCATTTTTCATCTGATAAATACCTTAAGTTTTCGAAACTACAGTACAACACCATTAATTACTGATCGTGTCTGCAAGCACTGATGATCAAATTAAATTACCGCAGGGAACTGAATAGCGATGCTATGTTCGTTGCGACCACATGTACATGATTTGCATTTACAGCTAAAGTCACTACTAAGAATAATTATGTATCTTGTGTGTCAGATCTAGAGCCTACCAAAACCCATTCAGAACGTCCGCAAAACAAAAGTTTAGTCTTAAACCAAACATTTGGACGCTCAATATACCTTATAAACATTATTTACCAATTACCATATAAACATTATTTAAAAATTATTTACCAATTTCAATATGGCCAGAAATGCAGCCAATATGGATGCCGAGCATGCTGATTTAGCCATGGAGATAACATTATTAAAAATAACAGTAGAGGAAGCATCGAGGAGAAATTGGGGAGCGCGTTAATCCAAGTCCCGGATTTGCACTCATTGACGATGACCGAGGACAAAATTTAAAGGAGGTTTTTCATTTCTAAATGTTTTTTTCCTTAAAATATAATTTCAGGATGTCTAAGATAGTAACAGCAGTTCAAAAAACAAAGTGTGGTTGCTAAGGAGCCATTGATGTAGGCAATAGGCACTTGGCTTAGCATCCGGGACTGGAATTTGTCCTCTATTGGCGCGCTCCCTTTTTCGACTGATGTTTCCGATACCAATGCCTCCTCTAGTGTTATTTATAACCTCTATATATTTAGCGCTAATTTGAAAATCCAATATGGCGCCCCATATTATTAAAATTTACTTTCTATGTAAGCCACAATTGAAAAGTCATGTTTGTCCACGTCCAAAACATCATCAATTTTATCGATCTTTAACCACTGAAAATTTGAGTATATCTCGAAATGCCCAAGTATACTACGGATCGAAGAAGAATATTTTCACGATTTAAATAATATAAGAAAGTGTATTCTCCGAGCATATCAGGTACCTTACAGCTCCAATTTCTGCTCGTTGTGGGCGGGCGTCAGAAAATGTCCACGTCAAGGCTGGTTTGAAAAAATTCTAGCTTTATTCAAACTTTAAACTGAACCGCATGATCCTACACACCTCACCGCTTACCGGCCTGCATTTCTGGCCATGGCAATTGTAGAAAGAAAGCCTAATTATTTTGTATATGCGTACATGCAGCTTACTGTTTTTATCTAACTTTTTTTATAAAGAAGAAAAAAGTTCTGAAGGAGTCCAATCAGAAAATGAGTTGTTTGCACTGCGTGAAAATCCAGTGAGAAAAATCCGCGTGAAAAGACAAGGTAAATACAGGGCAGATAAAGTTCCGTAGCGTGTTGGGTTCCCAAGACTACTAAAAGAAGACAAGAAATGCTGAAATCTAAATTCATGTCTGGCACTGTAGAGAAAAGCTAGCGTATTTGTAGTTTGCATGAAGCGTAATATTACCATTTGAAGTCCTAAGTGGCTCTTTACAATGAGAATAATACCATTTTTTTATCTTTAATGTCAGATGAAAATATTACACATTGCTACGAAAAGCTTGACCTAGGGTTTATATTGGACAGCTCTGGTAGCATTGGATCAACCGATTATGGCAAAATGAAATCTTTTGTGAAAGATCTCACCGATCATTTCGTGATTTCACAATCATACACAAGAGTTTCAGTTATTTCATATGCGTCGTCTTCCTCATTAAATTTTCCATTTTCACGTGTATTTGGTTCTCGAGAAGATCTTCATTCAGCAATAGATAACATTCCCTACACTGGTGGTGGTACTAATACCGCTTCAGCCTTGGCACAAGCGTTGTCAGAGATGTTCAATTCCAATAACGGGGCCCGACTTTCAGGTGCGTGAAAAAATATAAGTTTATAGGAAAACATGTGGTAGCAAGTATATACAATTTGGGTTTAATATCACAAGTTATAACTACACGAGCAACATGGTATTATTATCTTATGTTATTAGCATGATAAAATCGATGATAGCATGGTATTATTATCTTATATTATTAGCATGATAAAATTTTTTTTGTATTATGACTCGAGTAGTTTTTCTTACGTTAAAACACAGTCTTGCACTTTTATCAGTATTTTTTTTACCATTTTGGCCTTTCTTAGTTCCTCCCAGGGCTGTTTAGTTTGTATGTAAATACGTTTTCTCCATTTTGTTTGTTTTTGCCAGAAGAATAAATTCTACCGCAGTACATTATTTGATTTATGTAATATACGACGAATAGGACTAAAATTAAAACAGGAGTGCACTATTGACGAAATCATAGTGTGCATGTGAATGAGTGATTAGCAATTAACCAAACACGAGTGTGATTTTGGAAGTATTACACAACTTAATTCGTTTTATAAGTCTTTGCCATACCATACCATACCATACCATACCACACCGCACCACACCACGCCACACCACGCCACGCCACGCCACGCCACGCCACGCCACGCCACGCCACGCCACGCCACGCCACGCCACACCACACCACACCACACCACACCACCCCAGTGTTTTTCAGTGTTTGTGTGGGCCGAAACAGTATTGGGCATTCTTCCCACAACATATAAACAGACATGCATATTTTTCAGATGCGAGAAAAGTTTTAATCGTTCTCACTGACGGTCAAAGCAGTGGTAGTGTTGATCAGCCAGCTCAAAACTTAAAAAACATCGGGGTCAACATATTTTCTGTTGGAGTTGGTTCAGGGATCGATCAATCAGAACTAGAAACAATGGGATCCGCTCCAGCAGATGAACATGTGTATATGCTGAGCAATTTTAATGAATTTTCAACGCTAGCAAAGAAAATGTCACGGACGACTTGTAATGGTAGGGTTTAATTTCAAGAATCTTTATTACGGTCACATATACATGTTTTCTTATTCCTTTAATTTTGACCTTGAAGCAGTCACGGAAAATAGAAATGTATTTGATGAAATTATAGTACCACAATAAAAGTGATAAGATCTCATCTTTTCATCTTGTCCTTCTTACACTACTCCCCCAACACATTTTATTCTTTCCTCCTCATCCGTCGTAATTTCTTCTTCCACCTCTCTATCTTTGCCTTCCTCGTCCTTCTTCACCTTTCACTTTATTTCTTCTTCCTTCCTCTTCATCTTCTTTACGCTTTTTCATTACTTTTCCCCATACATTTTCTATTCCTTTTTTACCCATCTTGTTTCCTTTTCCAAAACTTTCTCCTTCCCCTTCCTCAATACTCCACTGAAGTATCTGCTTAGTTTGTATTACACGAGTACACAACTGCCATTTTTTTCTCTAGCAATGTCGTATTTGGTAATATGCAGGAAAGATAATGTTACGGTGATAATTGGAAGGCACAAATTATCATCTCTGGATCTTAACAACACTCATCTTGCTGATAGTTCGTGTAAAGCAAGCTACAATGCATCACACGTGTTTATAACGACGGCGTTGAATGAATGTGGAACGACGTATTCGGAGACGGATCAACAAATGTTCTATAACAATACTTTAACTGCAGCCGCTCCAATCTCTCCAGGGTCTGTCATTACAAGGGAACAGTCATTCGTTTTCAGCTTCAAATGTGCTTATAGTCGTTTAATCAGTGTCAGCGGTTTAAAATTTGAGCCTCCGAAACCAGAGATAGTAATTAAGCAAAGTATGTAAATTATATCACATTTGTTTAATGTCAGGTTTTACTAGTACAAAAGAGAGAAGGAAACGATTTTCATCATTCCCGCCCAGGATGGGAAATTGATCAGATTTTTCTCCATAATTTTTCTGCCAACATTTTTAACATATCTGATTATGTCTTAAACTTAGGCAGTCTGGGAAACTTTACCGTGAAATTGGGTTCTTACACCGACGCTGGCTTTCTTTCTTCTTCTTCGGAGGATTATCCTGCATTTAAAAGCTTTTCCGATCGTATCAACATCCAGTATTATGTGGATACCCAAAACCCTGATATAGTTGTACGCGCCGAGACATGCCGTGCAACGCCAAGTAGCAAGTCATACGACACACCTCAGTATGAATTCATGTCTGGCGGGTAAGTGTTTTGGAAAACTATTTTGTCTCTCGCTTTCTTTAAATTCGAATGATTCAAATCCGTGCCGTTTCTTCAAATTAAGCGCTAGTTAATTTATAACCCTCAAGAAAGTATCAGCGATCATGTATTGCAGCAGTAACTGATAAACATGAAGATTGCCATAACATTTTTCACACACATAACATTCTTCTGCTTTCATCTTACCGCAACCTAAGGTAATTTTTACGTTCGGAATTTTTATCACGAAATCAATAATAAAAATTTATTTAATGTTAGGACACTAAAAGCCATGTTACACGGTGCAATCTTTCTTGCGACTTGGAATACAAATCATTATGTAATTCTACATTTAAGAAGTGTAAATTAGTGAAGAGTCTGTAAGATGTAAGTGTAAGAAGCGCCATTGAGTGTAATAAAGACAAAAGTTCAGTAGTTGCCAAACTTACATCTCTCACAGGACCTTAAGTTTACAAGATTGCTGTGTATATGCTCTGGAATGGTGTATGAAAGTAAATTTTACTTATTTCTTGCAGCTGTGGCAAAGATTCGACTATCATCCATGATACAAGTGGTTTGCAAAAAAGTCATAGATTTAGCATCCAGGTTTTCCGATTTATTGCTAACCACACTTTCGTTTATATCCATTGTGACCTTCGATTATGTAACAGAAACGTTCCAGATTCCATTTGTGCAAAAAGTACCAGTTGTTCTAACAGACGAAAACGTCGCGATGTAGGTGACGCTACTGACAAAGCCTACAAACTTTCAATTGGCCCCATTATGTATCGAGAGGAAACGAAAAAGCAAGATAAAAAGGACCAGAATGGCAATGACGAAGGTTTGCTCACTTTGATTTATCTTGTAGAAACGTAATTTGCTTCTTGATTCTTTTATATCGTTGTGTAAAAGCATAGGCGTGCGGGACAGGGAGGCAGAGGGGGCACTTGCCCCTCCCTTTCGAGCAAAGTCCAGCTCAAAATTCCGGCAAACTGAAAAAGAGTTACATAGCTAAAATTTTTAAAACCAAATGTTGTAATATATATCACATATTTGGCCATTTTTTTATACTTTCTTCTCAGTACATCCGGCACTTTGCCAAGTTTATTATTACAAAACTGGTAAAAGTTAAAATTTGGGCACATTGTATAATTAAAAAATTGGGGTAATTTTTTTGCCCCCTCTCCCCCCCAAACGAAGTTGCGCCAATACGCCTATGTCTTAAAGAACCTTATTGCCAGACAATTTTTTACAGTTTGTTCATAACTATTTCCATTGTGCGGGATAATTATGAACCAGGTGACTAGAAAGAAGAAGATTATCGGCAGTTAATCTCGACTTTAGTTTACAATTCATGCATTTCCAGTATACGAACTTTTTTAACGAAACTACAAAACCGGCAAGATCAACCAAGCTCAACCAAATTAAACCAAGATATCTGCCCATTTTTGTTTCAGGCAGTGAACATAGTTATTGTGTTTTAACAAGGAACGCACGGATCGACAGACAAACGTTATTTCAAGAGAAATACTGAAAAAAATTCAAACATCCCACACCTACATGAAAACCACAATTATTAATCTTGAGATTTATATTTACTAGCTGTTCAGTCCGGGGACAGTCCTGTCATGTTTGCCATACTGGCTTGTGCCGCTGTTATTGTTGTTGCGCTATCTCTGACTGTCGTCGTGTTGGTCAGAAGACGTCGCAGGGGCAGTTTAACGGCGTCCGTTGAAAAGATTCCAACGGAATTCCCTGCTAAAAAAGTGGAAGAACTTGGCTGCAGCAACGTGACAGGAGAATAAAAACATTCCTTTTTGATTCAATAATGCATTATATAAACGTCTAATAAGCTATCATTTAGGAACAAACGTTAAGTTAAAGACATTAAGAAATATGCATGTATAATTAGGAAATCCTTCACTCAAGGAAGTATAATATTCAACGTAGATCTAACCTCATTTCCGCTTGATGAGATGTTACAAATATACCATAACCATTGCTAATTGCTAAATACTAAATATTCAACAATTATTGTTATTCAGATGCTGTGTGTTTAATTATGATTGGTTCATTCGTAGTCACACGACTTTAAATTATTGCAATGTTTCTCGCCAGGCTGACAAGTGAAAAATTGTCGCCCCAATTACCGTCTCCCGTATACGCCACTGACACTATCCACTTCGTCTCGGGAAATATTCAGACTCTTGGGAAAACAAAATTCACTATTTTCCTCGGGAGCATATATTAAGTGAATATTATTTGCCAAAGGCAGGGTAAATATTACTGATTTAATACCAAGACAAATTTAAGGTTTTTATTTAGTTATATTTAACCAGCATGAGGCGAATAATACTTTAGTATCATTACAAGGGTGTTATAGAAAAAAACAGGTCAGTAGTTGAAAATGTTTTTCCAATTAAAACAATATCAAACGATATTTAAGGATTAATGCACTCTGTGAGTGCATTATCGGGTTTTACATGCACGAGTTCACGAACAAGGAACGAGAAATTCAATACTGCACAAACTTTTGAACGAGTACATGTAAAACCCGATGATGCACAAACAAAGAGTGCTTTAATGCTTTTAATATTCATTTTGAGTAAACTTGTAAAGACTTTGTATCATTTTTAAACTTAACTAAACAACACATGCTTATCTTTAAATACTAAAACACCCCAAGCGGTTGCCCGTTTGGTATTTTTCGATGTGGATTCATCTATAATTACATTAATTTCCTTTTCGTTCACTTCGCTAAGTTCAACAAATTTTTTGTTTGTTGCCGCCATTTTGATAGTGCAATAAATCCTATAACGGTACTGCCGTGGCGTTGTTGTTATATAACATCCATTCACGTGGTACAAATCGACCAATCAGAACGTCAATTTACAAAAAATGAATATTAAAAAACGATATCGTTTTCGGCCAGAAAAAGAAGTTAATAACCGCTTTACCTCAAAAATAATTTTAGGCAAAGCATTTTGTTTAGAATTACTGATTTCTTCATCTGTACCTATCTTCATCTGAAAAATAACTTTTCACATTTTGAAAACTCCGCTCAGCTTGCCAGAATTTTTTTATTATTGTACTAAAATTTGTCATCAATTTTAACGATATTAAATCTTCAAACAAACATCTGTGAATTAAGCAAACTTAGATAATCCCTAATAATGCTGTACAGGGTGTCCCAAAAAAAACGCAACCACTTAAATATGCAAGAATATTAATATTGTTCGGGTTTGCACCATAGTTCAGCTAAAATGACTTTTACCATTGTAAATGAAGAATTAAGAGCCATTTTCAATTCCCAGAGGTGCTTATCTATTGCGCTTTAGAGCTGTATTAATGTTCTTGCATATTTAAGTGGTTGCTTTTTTTTGGGACACCCTGTTAATTTATCAATCTATATAACTCAATTACGTAAGATCGCATTTTGAAACGATGTGTTTGTTTTATCTGATGAAAAGAGTGCTACGTATGCTAATCCCCGAGCCGGTGCGGAGCACCGTGCGAGGGTACTAATTCCGCCCGGAGATTAGGAATTACACCCGGGACCCGGGAGAACATAGCGGAATCCAAAGTCGCCTAAATTTGGACCATGGACGTTCAATGGTCATGGTACTTGTGCGCATGCGCGAAATGCGAACGAGTGTAGACTGGTAATCAGCAACTTACTGATTGGCTAAGACGAAACGTTTGTTTTTCAGTGAAAAACGTCAGCAATTTAACTGTCATTTTGCAAACTATTTCTTTAAAAAAATGTTTCGAAAACAAAATATGAAATGTGGAATCAAATAACAGATAAAACACTGGGAAGAGTTTAAAATATTATCAGAACTGGAAGAATTAGCGGTGAAAAGGAACAACTCGATTATAATCCTTGAAATGGTAGGAGTCTATTTTGTTTATTTATAGGTTTATTTATTTCGTGTTTGCTGTACGAATACATTTTATGACCTTGGTACAGTACGTCGTTTTGCTCGGTTTTGCGAAGACGTGACCGACTATTTAAGGCTTTACATCATCGTTTTAACTTCCAAAAGAGTCTTTAAAAGTGTAATTCGGAGTTTTAATATAACAAATATCACTTTAAAGGTTTATAGAGTCGACTGCAATCACTGCATGAATTTAATAATCGAAAAACAGCATTCGACGTTCACTGCTTGGTTATTTATATTATTTGTGCTGTTTTGATGTTTTGAAGGTTTAGCTATAATGAAGTATTAACTCTCACTTAAACTGTGAAAGTCTGTAACTTAATGCAACGGAAAGCAGCAGGAAAACGGATGATTTCACTTCACCTTTACGACTGTGTTTGTTTCCAAAACATCAGCTATCGGCATTACATTTAGGACATTTCATAATATTGAAGGTTAGGTCTGGCTAGCTCAGGAAATATTTTGCTTCGTTTGAAATGGCGAGGGGTTGCTGCATGCATGTATTTCTAGTTAGAATATGATTCGAAAAATGCACTGGTCGCGAATGCGATGGCATAGAAAATAACACGAAACTAACGTGATACACAAAAGTGAAAAAATGCTATAAACGAAACGGCCGGGTTATGTGTTAATGCCCATCGAAACCATATGACAGTTTTATTGAAGCATGCATGGCCTTTTTTTTGCTTCACGATCAATTGTAAAAAAATTTTGTACGTCACAAAATAATAGGCCTGTGAGTAAAAAGCACCAAGCGCTTCCTGTATGTACAGAAACTGGCTGCATGCATGGTTTCTGGTCAGGATTGATCGTTCTCCGGACCGCATTGGGCAGAAAAATTTCCTTTTATCCGAGTGTTCTCAACCAAACCTAGACGGCCAAACAAAAAGATCATGCATACTGTTCGAACAGGTCGGGAGACGGGGGAAACTTTTCGTGACAGGATGTAAGCATTTACATCTACTTCAGTGCAAGCAGATTTAACGAATAATCTTCTCTCAGGTAAAAACAGCGCTGATTTTAGCATTGACATGATAAAATATAGTAAGTTATAATTAATGTTCCCATGAAATGTATACTGTGCTGGTTTTTATAGATATTGCGCTAACCATGCAAACATTGATCCTATTTCGGGAAAACGTCTAGCTTTCATTTTAGAAAAAAGACTCTAGAATGTTTCTTTTTTAAAAAACATAATCATTAGAATTGTGGAAGCTGGGTAGTCACGTGATTTCTATGCAGGACATTTTGAGCCGATATATCTCCGTAACTGAAGTTAAAAACTTTTAAAACATTCTTTAATGTTGTACTTTGGGTGGATCTTCTTCATGAAATGTAGCTTTCCCAACCATTCACACCCAAAGAAGCAAATAATCGTTATAGTGCTGCTCTCAATAAACACTTACCTCAATTTGCTTTAAAAAATTGCTGAACGTCTTGCAGAACGCCAAAATTTAGTGATTGTGAAGTAAAACACTTCAGTAGAAATAGAAAAATTTCGACAAGAGCTCACGAAAACCAATTGAAGTTTCCGAAAATATTACGAACGTGGTCATGGTCTTACTTTAGTTTACATAGCTTTCATGGGCAAATTTGTCCATGATACGTCGTTTGCGAATAAGGAACACTGCAATCTTGGTGACTGCATTCGTCCTTGCATGTTTTTTTTAATAAGCAATTGATTATTTTTGGCAAATAAAAAATTACTTTTTCCAGGTGCCAAGGGTTCCTTAAAAGGGTTTATCACAACTGCGAAGAGATTTTATAATGTAATTATCATATAATCCTACCGTAATCTTGGTAGGTGCATTTGATGTTGTTTTGAGTAATTCATTATTTTTGTAAAAATAAAAAACTACTCTTTTCTTGAGCTTTTTCAATATTAAGTAATATTTACTTAATAAAACGATCTTAATTGACGGACCAAGATATAGAAATAGCCCAGTTTACCTGTGCAATTTGTCCCGAATCCTTCATATCCACCATGGCATTCACATACGTATGAACCTTTGGTGTTTGTGCAGTTTGCATTTAAACTACACGCACCTTCCACGCACTCATCCACGTCTGCAAACAATGATAATTATATCATTTTACCGGGTTTAATGGATCTTAAGTTGGAAAGGAATTGTACACACTTCAAATTCAAGCCAGGAACAGTTGTTAAAATAGTACGGTCAATATGATCAAATGCTTTACTAAAATCGAAGAAACACACTCTGAGATACTGTCCCGGTTGGTCAAAGGAGGAGAGCCAGTTTTCAAACATGTCCAAATGATAGTATGCAGTATAGATGAGCCCTTCAGTAAACAGGATTGTTGCGGACCTATTTCACGTTGAAAATCTGCAATCAACCACTCCATGGCAAAATCGTCCTGAACTTTTGCTATGCACTGAGTATAAGCAACTGGTCTAAGATCTCCGTCGCATGACACCGGAGTGACTTTTGGAATTGGTAGGTAGGAGTCCTTCCATAACATAGGAAAAACCCCTTTGGCGAATGAAGTACTGAATATTTCGGTCACATGTATAGCTAACTCTGGTGCCAAATTCTTCCAGATACGATTTGTACAGCATCGTTAGAAATACATGGTTGATCTATGCTTTCTGACTGATCTTCTACCATGTCTCAATTAATGTCACAGGTTCTTATAGTTGAATGCTCCGCTTGGTTGTTTTCGATTGAAATTTTTAATTCCGTTGTCAAAGTAGGCCCATTAACATCATGACCTCGGACGTTATTTCCATATGCAATGATCTTGACTTAACACTTCACGACCTTTTTAAAACCAACTGATCTGAATTTGATTTACCTCATAATATCTAGCTTGTAAAAGTAGGACGATTTTTAAAAGCTGTACTTAAATATTTCATAAAACACTATTTACGTTTTCTTACCTGTGCAGTTAAATCCATCTCCAGTGTATCCAGAATAACATGTGCAGATATAAGATCCATCTGTGTTATTGCACGTAGCATTGGAATGACATGGGGGAAATGTTTGGCATTCGTGAACACCTAGAATAGCAGATGTTTCCATATACTCTTTTCGACTCAAAAAATCGGTAAATAAAATCATTTACATTGTCTTACCTGAGCAATTAAATCCATCTCCAGTATATCCAGAAACACATTTGCAAATATATGATCCATCTGTGTCATTGGACGTAGCATTCGAATGACATGGGGAAGATGTTACGCATTCATCAACATCTGAAACGGCAGTTAAAGCATTTCACTCTTCCATTTACTGTTTTTACTCAAGCATTTGGTAAAACGTTATCTAAGATACCTCACCTGTGCAATTAAATCCATCTCCATTATATCCAAAATCACAAGTGCAAATATAAAATCCATCGGTGTTATTGCAAGTAGCATTAAAATGACATAGGGAAGATGTTAGGCATTCGTCAACATATGAAATGGTAGTTGAAGCATTTTTATTTTCCCAATCACTGTGTTCTACTTAAATATTTCGTAAAAAGACTTTTACGTAGTCTCACCTGTGCAAATAAATCCATCTCCTGCATATCCAGATTTACATGTGCAGATATAAGACCCATCTGTGTTATTGCACGTAGCATTGGAATGACATGGGGGAGATATTACGCATTCGTCAACATCTAAAATGTCAATCAGGATTTTTATTTTTACATTTTATGTGCTCTACCTTAAAAGTATTACGTAAAAAAAACTTTTTCCGTTGTCTTATCTGTGCTACATCTGAAATGGCAGTTGTAGCATTTTAATTTTCCAGTATTTCTTTTCGACAAAAATCGGTAAATTAAAATGTTTGCTTCGTTTTACCTGAGCAATTAAACCCATCCCCAGTATATCCAGATTGGCATGTGCAAAAATAAGATCCATCTGTGTTGTTGCATGTAGCATTGGAATGACATGGTGGAGATATTACACATTCGTTAACATCTAAAATGGCAGATGCCGCATTTTTATTTTCCCATTTACTGCGTTCTACTTAATCATTTCGGGAAAAAAAAAACATTTTACGTTGTGTCACCTGAGCAATTAAATCCATCTCCTATATATCCAGAAATACATGTGCAGATATAAGATCCATCTGTGTTATTGCACGTAGCGTTGGAATGACATGAGGAAAAAGACTTTTAGGTTATCTCACCTGTGCAAATAAATCCATCTCCTGTATATCCAGAATTACATGTGCAAACATAAGATCCATCTGTGTTATTGCACGTTGCATTGGAATGACATGGTGGAGATATTACACATTCGTCAACATCTGAAATGGCAGTTGTAGAATATTTTTCTTTTTGCTGCGTTCTACTTAAATTTTTCTTAAAAAAATTTTTTTCGTTGTGTCACCTGTGCAATTAAATCCATGTCCTATATATCCAGTATCACATGTGCAAATATAAGATCCATCTGTGTTATTGCACGTAGCATTGGAATGACATGGGGGAGATATTACGCATTCGTCAACATCTAAAATGTCAATCAGGATTTTTATTTTTACATTTTATGTGCTCTACCTTAAAAGTATTACGTAAAAAAACTTTTTCCGTTGTCTTATCTGTGCTACATCTGAAATGGCAGTTGTAGCATTTTAATTTTCCAGTATTTCTTTTCGACAAAAATCGGTAAATTAAAATGTTTGCTTTGTTTTACCTGAGCAATTAAACCCATCCCCAGTATATCCAGATTGGCATGTGCAAAAATAAGATCCATCTGTGTTGTTGCATGTAGCATTGGAATGACATGGTGGAGATATTACACATTCGTTAACATCTAAAATGGCAGATGCCGCATTTTTATTTTCCCATTTACTGCGTTCTACTTAATCATTTCGGGAAAAAAAAAACATTTTACGTTGTGTCACCTGAGCAATTAAATCCATCTCCTATATATCCAGAAATACATGTGCAGATATAAGATCCATCTGTGTTATTGCACGTAGCGTTGGAATGACATGAGGAAGATGTTAGGCATTCGTCAAAATCTGAAAAGGCAGTTGTAACATTTTATTTTTTATATTTATTTCGTCCTTTTTGAAAATATCTCGTAAAAAATTTTTTTACGTTGAATCACCTGTGCAATTAAATCCATCACCAGTATATCCAGGATCGCATGTGCAAAAATAAGATCCATCTGTGTTATTGCATGTAGCATTGGAATGACATGGTGGAGATATTACACATTCGTCAACATCTGAAATGGCAGATGCAGCATTTTTATTTTCGCATTTACTACGTTGTACTTAAATATTTCTAAAAAAAACTTTTTTCGTTGAGTCACCTGTGCAATTAAATCCATCTCCTATATATCCAGAATTACATGTGCAGATATAAGAACCATCTGTGTTATTGCACGTAGCATTGGAATGACATGGGGAAGATGTTTGGCATTCGTCAAAATCTAAAATGGCGGATGTAGCATTTTTTCCATTTACTGCGTTCTACTTAAATATTTCGTAAAAAAAACTTTTTTTAAGTTGTGTTACCTGTGCAATTAAATCCATCTCCTATATATCCAGAATTACATATGCAGATATAAGATCCGTGTGTGTTATTGCACATAGCATTCGAATTACATGGTGTAGATAACACACATTCGTCAACATCTGAAATGGCAGTTGTAGCATTTTATTTTTTACGTTTATTTTGCCCTTTTGAAAATACCTCGTAAAAAAACATTTTACGTTGAATCACCTGGGCAATTAAATCCATCTCCAGTATATCCAGACTGGCATATGCAGATATAAGATCCATCTGTGTTATTGCACGTAGCATTGGAATGACATGGTGGAGATATTACACATTCGTCAACATCTGAAATGGCAGTTGTAGAATATTTTTCTTTTTGCTGCGTTCTACTTAAATATTTCGTAAAAAAACTTTTTTCGTTGTGTCACCTGTGCAATGAAATCCATCTCCTATATATCCAGTATCACATGTGCAAATATAAGATCCATCTGTGTTATTGCACGTAGCATTGGAATGACATGGGGAAGATGTTAGGCATTCGTCAACATCTAAAATGGCGGATGTAGCATTTTTTTCCATTTACTGCGTTCTACTTATATATTTTGTAAAAAAAACTTTTTTAAGTTGTGTTACCTGTGCAATTAAATCCATCTCCTATATATCCAGAATTACATAGCATATAAGATCCGTGTGTGTTATTGCACATAGCATCCGAATTACATGGTGAAGATAACACACATTCGTCAACATCTGAAATGGCAGTTGTAGCATTTTATTTTTACGTTTATTTTGCCCTTTTGAAAATATCTCGTAAAAAAACATTTTACGTTGAATCACCTGCGCAATTAAATCCATCTCCAGTATATCCAGACTGGCATATGCAGATATAAGATCCATCTGTGTTATTGCACGTAGCATTGGAATGACATGGTGGAGATATTACACATTCGTCAACATCTGAAATGGCAGTTGTAGAATATTTTTCTTTTTGCTGCGTTCTACTTAAATATTTCGTAAAAAAACTTTTTTCGTTGTGTCACCTGTGCAATGAAATCCATCTCCTATATATCCAGTATCACATGTGCAAATATAAGATCCATCTGTGTTATTGCACGTAGCATTGGAATGACATGGGGAAGATGTTAGGCATTCGTCAACATCTAAAATAGCGGATGTAGCATTTTTTTTCTATTTACTGCGTTCTACTTAAATATTTCGTAAAAAAAACTTTTTTTAAGTTGTGTTACCTGTGCAATTAAATCCATCTCCTATATATCCAGAATTACATATGCAGATATAAGATCCGTGTGTGTTATTGCACATAGCATTCGAATTACATGGTGAAGATAACACACATTCGTCAACATCTGAAATGGCAGTTGTAGCATTTTATTTTTTACGTTTATTTTGCCCTTTTGAAAATATCTCGTAAAAAAACATTTTACGTTGAATCACCTGGGCAATTAAATCCATCTCCAGTATATCCAGACTGGCATATGCAGATATAAGATCCATCTGTGTTATTGCACGTAGCATTGGAATGACATGGTGGAGATATTACACATTCGTCAACATCTGAAATGGCAGTTGTAGAATATTTTCTTTTTGCTGCGTTCTACTTAAATATTTCGTAAAAAACTTTTTCGTTGAGTCACCTGTGCAATGAAATCCATCTCCTATATATCCAGTATCACATGTGCAAATATAAGATCCATCTGTGTTATTGCACGTAGCATTAGAATGACATGGGGAAGATGTTAGGCATTCGTCAACATCTAAAATGGCGGATGTAGCATATTTTTTTCATTTACCGCCTTCTACTAAAATATTTCGTAAAAAAAAACTTTTTTTAAGTCGTGTTACCTGTGCAATTAAATCCATCTCCTATATATCCAGAATTACATATGCAAATATAAGATCCATGTGTGTTATTGCACATAGCATTCGAATTACATGGTGAAGATAACACACATTCGTCAACATCTGAAATGGCAGTTGTAGCATTTATTTTTTACGTTTATTTTGCCCTTTTGAAAATACCTCGTAAAAAAACATTTTACGTTGAATCACCTGGGCAATTAAATCCATCTCCAGTATATCCAGACTGGCATATGCAGATATAAGATCCATCTGTGTTATTGCACGTAGCATTGGAATGACATGGTGGAGATATTACACATTCGTCAACATCTGAAATGGCAGTTGTAGAATATTTTTCTTTTTGCTGCGTTCTACTTAAATATTTCGTAAAAAAACTTTTTTCGTTGAGTCACCTGTGCAATGAAATCCATCTCCTATATATCCAGTATCACATGTGCAAATATAAGATCCATCTGTGTTATTGCACGTAGCATTGGAATGACATGGGAAGATGTTAGGCATTCGTCAACATCTAAAATGGAGGATGTAGCATATTTTTTCCATTTACCGCGTTCTACTAAAATATTTCGTAAAAAAAAACTTTTTTTAAGTTGTGTTACCTGTGCAATTAAATCCATCTCCTATATATCCAGAATTACATATGCAAATATAAGATCCATGTGTGTTATTGCACATAGCATTCGAATTACATGGTGAAGATAACACACATTCGTCAACATCTGAAATGGCAGTTGTAGCATTTTATTTTTTACGTTTATTTTGCCCTTTTGAAAATACCTCGTAAAAAAACATTTTACGTTGAATCACCTGGGCAATTAAATCCATCTCCAGTATATCCAGACTGGCATATGCAGATATAAGATCCATCTGTGTTATTGCACGTAGCATTGGAATGACATGGTGGAGATATTACACATTCGTCAACATCTGAAATGGCAGTTGTAGAATATTTTTCTTTTTGCTGCGTTCTACTTAAATATTTCGTAAAAAAACTTTTTTCGTTGAGTCACCTGTGCAATGAAATCCATCTCCTATATATCCAGTATCACATGTGCAAATATAAGATCCATCTGTGTTATTGCACGTAGCATTGGAATGACATGGGGAAGATGTTAGGCATTCGTCAACATCTAAAATAGCGGATGTAGCATTTTTTTCCATTTACTGCCTTCTACTTAAATATTCGTAAAAAAAAACTTTTTTTAAGTTGTGTTACCTGTGCAATTAAATCCATCTCCTATATATCCAGAATTACATATGCAAATATAAGATCCATGTGTGTTATTGCACATAGCATTCGAATTACATGGTGAAGATAACACACATTCGTCAACATCTGAAATGGCAGTTGTAGCATTTTAATTTTTACGTTTATTTTGTCCTTTTGAAAATATCTAGTAAAAAACATTTTACGTTGAATCACCTGGGCAATTAAATCCATCTCCAGTATATCCAGACTGGCATATGCAGATATAAGATCCATCTGTGTTATTGCACGTAGCATTGGAATGACATGATGGAGATATGACACATTCGTCAACATCTGAAATGGCAGTTGTAAAATATTTTTCTTTTTGCTGCGTTCTACTTAAATATTTCGTAAAAAACTTTTTTCGTTGTGTCACCTGTGCAATGAAATCCATCTCCCATATATCCAGTATCACATGTGCAAATATAAGATCCATCTGTGTTATTGCACGTAGCATTGGAATGACATGGGGAAGATGTTAGGCATTCGTCAACATCTAAAATGGCGGATGTAGCATTTTTTTTTCCATTTACTGCGTTCTACTTATATATTTTGTAAAAAAAACTTTTTTTAAGTTGTGTTACCTGTGCAATTAAATCCATCTCCTGTATATCCAGAATTACATATGCAGATATAAGATCCGTGTGTGTTATTGCACATAGCATCCGAATTACATGGTGAAGATAACACACATTCGTCAACATCTGAAATGGCAGTTGTAGCATTTTATTTTTTACGTTTTTTTGCCCTTTTGAAAATATCTCGTAAAAAAACATTTTACGTTGAATCACCTGGGCAATTAAATCCATCTCCAGTATTCCAGACTGGCATATGCAGATATAAGATCCATCTGTGTTATTGCACGTAGCATTGGAATGACATGGTGGAGATATTACACATTCGTCAACATCTGAAAAGCAGTTTTAGAATATTTTTCTTTTTGCTGCGTTCTACTTAAATATTTCGTAAAAAAACTTTTTTCGTTGTGTCACCTGTGCAATGAAATCCATCTCCTATATATCCAGTATCACATGTGCAAATATAAGATCCATCTGTGTTATTGCACGTAGCATTGGAATGACATGGGGAAGAATTTAGGCATTCGTCAACATCTAAAATGGCGGATGTAGCATATTTTTTCCATTTACGCGTTCTACTAAATATTTCGTAAAAAAAAAACTTTTTTTAAGTTGTGTTACCTGTGCAATTAAATCCATCTCCTATATATCCAGAATTACATATGCAAATATAAGATCCATGTGTGTTATTGCACATAGCATTCGAATTACATGGTGAAGATAACACACATTCGTCAACATCTGAAATGGCAGTTGTAGCATTTTTTTTTTACGTTATTTTGCCCTTTTGAAAATACCTCGTAAAAAACATTTTACGTTGAATCACCTGGGCAATTAAATCCATCTCCAGTATATCCAGACTGGCATATGCAGATATAAGATCCATCTGTGTTATTGCACGTAGCATTGGAATGACATGGTGGAGATATTACACATTCGTCAACATCTGAAATGGCAGTTTTAGAATATTTTTCTTTTTGCTGCGTTCTACTTAAATATTTCGTAAAAAAAACTTTTTTCGTTGTGTCACCTGTGCAATGAAATCCATCTCCTATATATCCAGTATCACATGTGCAAATATAAGATCCATCTGTGTTATTGCACGTAGCATTGGAATGACATGGGAAGATGTTAGGCATTCGTCAACATCTAAAAAGCGGATGTAGCATTTTTTTCCATTATTGCCTTCTACTTAAATATTTCGTAAAAAAAAACTTTTTTTAAGTTGTGTTACCTGTGCAATTAAATCCATCTCCTATATATCCAGAATTACATATGCAAATATAAGATCCATGTGTGTTATTGCACATAGCATTCGAATTACATGGTGAAGATAACACACATTCGTCAACATCTGAAATGGCAGTTGTAGCATTTTATTTTTACGTTTATTTTGCCCTTTTGAAAATATGGTAAAAAACATTTTACGTTGAATCACCTGGGCAATTAAATCCATCTCCAGTATATCCAGACTGCATATGCAGATATAAGATCCATCTGTGTTATTGCACGTAGCATTGGAATGACATGGTGGAGATATTACACATTCGTCAACATCTGAAATGGCAGTTTTAGAATATTTTTCTTTTTGCTGCGTTCTACTTAAATATTTCGTAAAAAAAACTTTTTTCGTTGTGTCACCTGTGCAATGAAATCCATCTCCTATATATCCAGTATCACATGTGCAAATATAAGATCCATCTGTGTTATTGCACGTAGCATTGGAATGACATGGGGAAGATGTTAGGCATTCGTCAACATCTAAAATAGCGGATGTAGCATTTTTTTTCCATTTACTGCCTTCTACTTAAATATTTCGTAAAAAAAACTTTTTTAAGTTGTGTTACCTGTGCAATTAAATCCATCTCCTATATCCAGAATTACATATGCAAATATAAGATCCATGTGTGTTATTGCACATAGCATTCGAATTACATGGTGAAGATAACACACATTCGTCAACATCTGAAATGGCAGTTGTAGCATTTTAATTTTACGTTTATTTTGCCCTTTTGAAAATATCTCGTAAAAAAACATTTTACGTTGAATCACCTGGGCAATTAAATCCATCTCCAGTATATCCAGACTGGCATATGCAGATATAAGATCCATCTGTGTTATTGCACGTAGCATTGGAATGACATGGTGGAGATATTACACATTCGTCAAACATCTGAAATGGCAGTTGTAGAATATTTTCTTTTTGCTTGTGCGTTCTACTTAAATATTTCGTAAAAAAAACTTTTTTCGTTGTGTCACCTGTGCAATGAAATCCATCTCCTATATATCCAGTATCACATGTGCAAATATAAGATCCATCTGTGTTATTGCACGTAGGCATTGGAATGACATGGGGAAGATGTTAGGCATTCGTCAACATCTAAAATAGCGGATGTAGCATTTTTTTTCTATTTACTGCGTTCTACTAAAATATTTTGTAAAAAAAACTTTTTTTAAGTTGTGTTACCTGTGCAATTAAATCCATCTCCTATATATCCAGAATTACATATGCAGATATAAGATCCGTGTGTGTTATTGCACATAGCATTCGAATTACATGGTGAAGATAACACACATTCGTCAACATCTGAAATGGCAGTTGTAGCATTTTATTTTTTACGTTTATTTTGCCCTTTTGAAAATATCTCGTAAAAAAACATTTTACGTTGAATCACCTGGGCAATTAAATCCATCTCCAGTATATCCAGACTGGCATATGCAGATATAAGATCCATCTGTGTTATTGCACGTAGCATTGGAATGACATGGTGGAGATATTACACATTCGTCAACATCTGAAATTGCAGTTGTAGAATATTTTTCTTTTTGCTGCGTTTTACTTAAATATTTCGTAAAAAAACTTTTTTCGTTGAGTCACCTGTGCAATGAAATCCATCTCCTATATATCCAGTATCACATGTGCAAATATAAGATCCATCTGTGTTATTGCACGTAGCATTGGAATGACATGGGGAAGATGTTAGGCATTCGTCAACATCTAAAATAGCGGATGTAGCATTTTTTTTCCATTTACTGCCTTCTACTTAAATATTCCGTAAAAAAAAACTTTTTTTAAGTTGTGTTACCTGTGCAATTAAATCCATCTCCTATATATCCAGAATTACATATGCAAATATAAGATCCATGTGTGTTATTGCACATAGCATTCGAATTACATGGTGAAGATAACACACATTCGTCAACATCTGAAATGGCAGTTGTAGCATTTTATTTTTACGTTTATTTTGCCTTTTGAAAATATCTAAAAAAACATTTTACGTTGAATCACCTGGGCAATTAAATCCATCTCCAGTATATCCAGACTGGCATATGCAGATATAAGATCCATCTGTGTTATTGCACGTAGCATTGGAATGACATGATGGAGATATGACACATTCGTCAACATCTGAAATGGCAGTTGTAAAATATTTTTCTTTTTGCTGCGTTCTACTTAAATATTTCGTAAAAAACTTTTTTCGTTGTGTCACCTGTGCAATGAAATCCATCTCCTATATCCAGTATCACATGTGCAAATATAAGATCCATCTGTGTTATTGCACGTAGCATTGGAATGACATGGGGAAGATGTTAGGCATTCGTCAACATCTAAAATGGCGGATGTAGCATTTTTTTTCCATTTACTGCGTTCTACTTAATATTTGTAAAAAAACTTTTTTTAAGTTGTGTTACCTGTGCAATTAAATCCATCTCCTGTATATCCAGAATTACATATGCAGATATAAGATCCGTGTGTGTTATTGCACATAGCATTGAATTACATGGTGAAGATAACACACATTCGTCAACATCTGAAATGGCAGTTGTAGCATTTTATTTTTTACGTTTATTTTGCCCTTTTGAAAATATCTCGTAAAAAAACATTTTACGTTGAATCACCTGGGCAATTAAATCCATCTCCAGTATATCCAGACTGGCATATGCAGATATAAGATCCATCTGTGTTATTGCACGTAGCATTGGAATGACATGGTGGAGATATTACACATTCGTCAACATCTGAAATTGCAGTTGTAGAATATTTTTCTTTTTGCTGCGTTCTACTTAAATATTTCGTAAAAAAACTTTTTTCGTTGAGTCACCTGTGCAATGAAATCCATCTCCTATATATCCAGTATCACATGTGCAAATATAAGATCCATCTGTGTTATTGCACGTAGCATTGGAATGACATGGGGAAGAATTTAGGCATTCGTCAACATCTAAAATGGCGGATGTAGCATATTTTTTCCATTTACCGCGTTCTACTAAAATATTTCGTAAAAAAAACTTTTTTTAAGTTGTGTTACCTGTGCAATTAAATCCATCTCCTATATATCCAGAATTACATATGCAAATATAAGATCCATGTGTGTTATTGCACATAGCATTCGAATTACATGGTGAAGATAACATACATTCGTCAACATCTGAAATGGCAGTTGTAGCATTTTATTTTTTACGTTTATTTTGCCCTTTTGAAAATACCTCGTAAAAAAACATTTTACGTTGAATCACCTGGGCAATTAAATCCATCTCCAGTATATCCAGACTGGCATATGCAGATATAAGATCCATCTGTGTTATTGCACGTAGCATTGGAATGACATGGTGGAGATATTACACATTCGTCAACATCTGAAATGCAGTTGTAGAATATTTTTCTTTTTGCTGCGTTCTACTTAAATATTTCGTAAAAAAACTTTTTTCGTTGTGTCACCTGTGCAATGAAATCCATCTCCTATATATCCAGTATCACATGTGCAAATATAAGATCCATCTGTGTTATTGCACGTAGCATTGGAATGACATGGGGAAGATGTTAGGCATTCGTCAACATCTAAAATAGCGGATGTAGCATTTTTTTTCCATTTATTGCCTTCTACTTAAATATTTCGTAAAAAAAAACTTTTTTTAAGTTGTGTTACCTGTGCAATTAAATCCATCTCCTATATATCCAGAATTACATATGCAAATATAAGATCCATGTGTGTTATTGCACATAGCATTCGAATTACATGGTGAAGATAACACACATTCGTCAACATCTGAAATGGCAGTTGTAGCATTTTAATTTTTACGTTTATTTTGCCCTTTTGAAAATATCTGGTAAAAAACATTTTACGTTGAATCACCTGGGCAATTAAATCCATCTCCAGTATATCCAGACTGGCATATGCAGATATAAGATCCATCTGTGTTATTGCACGTAGCATTGGAATGACATGGTGGAGATATTACACATTCGTCAACATCTGAAATGGCAGTTTTAGAATATTTTTCTTTTTGCTGCGTTCTACTTAAATATTTCGTAAAAAAAACTTTTTTCGTTGTGTCACCTGTGCAATGAAATCCATCTCCTATATATCCAGTATCACATGTGCAAATATAAGATCCATCTGTGTTATTGCACGTAGCATTGGAATGACATGGGGAAGATGTTAGGCATTCGTCAACATCTAAAATAGCGGATGTAGCATTTTTTTTCCATTTACTGCCTTCTACTTAAATATTTCGTAAAAAAAAACTTTTTTTAAGTTGTGTTACCTGTGCAATTAAATCCATCTCCTATATATCCAGAATTACATATGCAAATATAAGATCCATGTGTGTTATTGCACATAGCATTCGAATTACATGGTGAAGATAACACACATTCGTCAACATCTGAAATGGCAGTTGTAGCATTTTAATTTTTACGTTTATTTTGCCCTTTTGAAAATATCTGGTAAAAAACATTTTACGTTGAATCACCTGGGCAATTAAATCCATCTCCAGTATATCCAGACTGGCATATGCAGATATAAGATCCATCTGTGTTATTGCACGTAGCATTGGAATGACATTGTGGAGATATGACACATTCGTCAACATCTGAAATGGCAGTTGTAGAATATTTTTTTTTTTGCTGCGTTCTACTTAAATATTTCGTAAAAAACTTTTTTCGTTGTGTCACCTGTGCAATGAAATCCATCTCCTATATATCCAGTATCACATGTGCAAATATAAGATCCATCTGTGTTATTGCACGTAGCATTGGAATGACATGGGGAAGATGTTAGGCATTCGTCAACATCTAAAATGGCGGATGTAGCATTTTTTTTCCATTTACTGCGTTCTACTTATATATTTTGTAAAAAAAACTTTTTTTAAGTTGTGTTACCTGTGCAATTAAATCCATCTCCTATATATCCAGAATTACATATGCAGATATAAGATCCGTGTGTGTTATTGCACATAGCATCCGAATTACATGGTGAAGATAACACACATTCGTCAACATCTGAAATGGCAGTTGTAGCATTTTATTTTTTACGTTTATTTTGCCCTTTTGAAAATATCTCGTAAAAAAACATTTTACGTTGAATCACCTGGGCAATTAAATCCATCTCCAGTATATCCAGACTGGCATATGCAGATATAAGATCCATCTGTGTTATTGCACGTAGCATTGGAATGACATGGTGGAGATATTACACATTCGTCAACATCTGAAATGGCAGTTGTAGAATATTTTTCTTTTTGCTGCGTTCTACTTAAATATTTCGTAAAAAAACTTTTTTCGTTGTGTCACCTGTGCAATGAAATCCATCTCCTATATATCCAGTATCACATGTGCAAATATAAGATCCATCTGTGTTATTGCACGTAGCATTGGAATGACATGGGGGAGATATTACGCATTCGTTAACATCTAAAATGGCATTTGTAGCATACTTGATTTATTTTTCCATTCCCTCTTTTTTACTCAACACTTGGTAAAATTATTATTTGCATAGTCTTACCTGTGCAGTTAAATCCATGCCCAGTATATCCAGAATCACATGTGCAAATATAAGATCCATCTGTGTTAATGCACGTAGCATTGGAATGACATGGGGGAAATATTACGCATTCGTCAACATCTGAAACGGGAATTGAAGCATTTCATTCTTCCATTTACTGTTTTTACTAAAGTATTAATTTGGTAAAAACATATTTTACGTTGAATCACCTGTGCAATTATATCCATCTCCACTATATCCAGAATCACATGTGCAAAAATAAGATGCATTTGTGTTATTGCACGTAGCATTGGAATGACATGGGGAAGATGTTAAGCATTCGTCGACATCTGAAATGGAAGTTGTAGAAACCTTTTTTAATTTTCTGTTTTTAAGATTTTGTAAAAACATTATTTATTCCCGTTGTGTAACCTGTGCAATTAAATCCATCTCCAGTGTATCCAGAATTACATGTGCAAATATAAGATCCATCTGTGTTATTGCACGTAGCATTTGAATGACATGGGGGAGATGTTAGGCATTCGTCAACATCTGAAATAGCAGTGTCAGCAATTCCTTTTAATTATTTACTATGTAAGGTCTTTTCAAGGATTTGGTGAAGTAAATTGTTGACGTTACTGACGAATGCCGTTAATGTCCAAGATAAATCCTGGGTGACATGTGCAGATATTCGGTAGGTAAATTAAATTATTTACGTTTTCTTACCTGTGCAGTTAAATCCATTATATCCAAAATGACACGTGCAGATATAAGATCCATCTGTGTTATTGCATGTAGCATTGGAATGACATGGGGAGGTTGTTTTGCATTCATCAACGTCTGAAATGTATAATCGCAAATTAATCTCTAGTCAAGTAATTTTTTTTATTGAACTCTGTTTTCGCCACTCTAAACATGCAAGGTTCGTATATGTTCTGATTATTTTTACTAAATAATTTCATATCATGTTAGTGTAAAGTTCTGCTCAGGCAATCCAATTTTGTTGGATCCAATTAACTTCTGAATGTTGCCTTATAGTCTGTTGTCTTGTAATGTATATGAGAAGCAAATCCACTGAAGCCAATGCTGTACTGCTTTATTTAATTACGGACTATATTTCATATGTCGGAAGTGAATTGGATTAACAGAACATAACAATTCTTCTGTGGCATACATTTTCGGGAATCTTATTTTGAAAACTAATTAAAATAGCCATGAAATCTCTTATGGGTCCATTTTCATTTCACATTAAGAAATAGAAGAAATATTTTCCGTGTTTCTATAAAGTTATAGAAACACGCTTCTCGAACAGTAAGCACGTGTGTACTATAAGTGATGTTATAAATCTTTCTAATGTGTTAATGTTTCGTTTGATATCTCCAATGTGAAGATGTGCGTCAAACAAACAAATACAGTTACAGGTTAGCATTAACGTCTACCTTTTCCACAGTTCGGTTTAGATTCTCAGATTAGCAGTTTAACTTGTATCAATTGCCTTATAATCATGTCCGTGCAGATAATTATATGATACCTCAATTTTAAGCCCACGTAATTAAATGTCAATCAAATGTAAATAACTAGTAATACAATGTATAATATAGTAATAGATCTAAAGTAAGTGTTCATCACAGCATGTTGTATAAAAATTTAATGAGTGCCTTCCAAGTGATCTCGCGCCAACCTCGGAAAGCATTATTTTGCCAGCAAATAGAAATCCATAGAAGAGATGAGTGAGCGCGTTTTGGCACCAAGGCTATTTTCAAAACTCTTCGCATGCAGTAATAAGGTGTTAAATTATTGGTTAAACGTGATTGCCTACTCTTTCAACTCAAGATCAAATATTTTCCGTATGTGTGAATGAAATTCTAGATTTTTGATTTTTGACAATGCGATTGCATTAATCAAAATTTGACAAACACCAAAAAGTTGAATACGAAATTAAGACACGATAAAAATAGTGATTATCTAATATTCCTGATCGAGTCCTTATGGTCGAACATAAAATATTCCGGTATATTCGACCATGGTCGAGTATATACCATATTCCGGTATTCCAGTATATTCGAGTCGAGTATATCGTATTTCGGTACATTCGACCATGGTCGAGTGTACCATATTCCAGTGTATTCGACCATGGTCAGTTAATATCGATTATAACCGCCCCGGTGCCAAAGAACAAGGTGACCTTGAGGAATATCTGATGAATCCAGAAGACAGGGACTGGAAACGCTAACTAAAACACTTATAATGCTGACGCGCCATCCGTGATATGGCTTTATCACGTCAATTTTTACGTTGCCAAGCAACCATGCTCTTTATTCAGAAAAAATAATACAAAGTAAATCCAGCATAAGTTTGCATATCTTTTTAATATGAATATAATATTTCTACCTGACCTTTAAGTCAGATAATTTTTCAAGGTATAGGCGCGTTTTGTAAACAGTCCTCATAATTCCAGGCTTGGAAATGTTTGCATCAAAAATATGCGCACGTAAAAATTAAGTAGTTTTTTGGGACCCTGTAACTTGAGATGAAAGCTATAAATTTTCTTTGACAACATACAAATAGCGTCTTATTTTACAAAAGAATACATTAGGACAGCGACTGCAACTTGTAACTACATGCAGACTAGTGTGTCTGGCCAACAGTAAGGACCTTTTTCAGTCCCAACCACAAAAGGATCACCATGTATGCACGAGACTAGTCCCTAGTCCTCCTTAGCCCGCCTTGTGACGTCACCGCTTTGAACGCGCGGGAGAGGACTAGCAGAAAATGTTTTTAATTCTTATTTCAAAATGGCAGCCAGAAAATTTTTCTCAAGCAATACCAATCGCAAAATATTTGGATTAGGGACAAAATCAGGGACAATTTTTAAAATCTCAACATTTTGTGCAAGGCCTCTCAGCATGGGCTGTGCGATTATGCAGAGGCATAATTAACAGCGCGCGCTGTTTATTATTAAATTATCAACAATTTTAATAAATTGAGAAACTTTGTCTTACATAGTGTAAACAAAATAATGCATGGTATGCATCTATTACCTTTGCACTTGTAAAGCTAAAAATCGCCAATAACCGCATGCGTCGTGTTTTTATGTTAGAATGTCACTATTTTTGTTCTCGTACAATAGGTACCTAGTCGGAAACCCTATAAAATCACTTCATCCCATTTTCAGAGGGTCATCAGTTTTATATATTTATTCGAACACAATAAATCAACGAAATGTGCACTTATTGCATTTTCCAACATCGTCTTACATTAAAAAAGTTAAATTGTCATAAAAAAACTGCGTGCGTGGTATTTTTTGCTAAACCGAGTGTCGCCATCGTTGTTCTCGAAATATGTCCCGATTGAATTTACTTTAGACAAGTTTTAGAGCCCCATTTGAAAATAGTTTGAACAAAAAACAATAAACAGTCAACTTATTGCTTTTACCAACATATTTTTTGAAATATTGAAGCTACAAATCACCAAATAACTGCGCGCGGGGTCTTTTTTGCTGAGACGTGTCGCCATTTTCTTTCTGAAATATGTGCCCATTAAATTTACTTTGGACAAGTTTTAGAGCCCCATTTGAAAACAGTTGAAACAAAAATTAATAAACAGTTAACTTATTGCTTTTACCAACATATTTTTTGCATTATTGAAGTTACAAATCACCAAGTAACTGCGTGCGTTGTCTTTTTGCTGAGACGTGTTTCCACTGTTGTTTTCGAAATGGATTTCTACATGAGCCCGCGAAATATGCCGGCCGTATCACGGAAAGCGCACGCGAAAACAATAGCGTTTCCAGTCCCTGTCTGTCGACCGATTTTAATCGCCAAGTATCAAACTGCTTTGATTTCAGTCTGCCTTTCGATTTCAGTCTGCCAACAAAAATCGCCTTAAAATGACATCGCACACGCAAAGAATTAGTCGGTCGACTAAAATCGTACGACAAAAATCGCGACGTGTGCGCCTGGCTTTAGATTCAGAAAGTACTATTTCTATTACATTAAAACAGTTTTTGTTTGGTCAGGTTTAATTAGTTTTTAATTCTGAATACCGTACCTTGGCAATATGTTTGATTTCCAGTGAATCCAGTGTCACATGAGCATACAATGGTGCCAGGAGAGTTCGTACATGTTGAGTTCGCAGGACAGGTGTTATTCAAAGAACAGTGGTCCTTATCTAAAAGTAAGAAAATTACCCAGAGGCTGTTTAGATATTGGGCACAGGCACCCGAGATTGAGTGAAGTGTAGGGTGATTTGAGGTTTGAAATAAGTCTTTATGAAACTAAATAAGCGCATGCTATTGCTGGTGTGATATGCTTATTTGTATAATTATTACATAGGTTTACTTCATATATACAAATACGTAATTTGTTTATACTAAACGTTAGAAACAAATTTACCAAATTTTTAACCAAACTAGGGATCCAAGGATAGTGCAAAGTTTTCATGCCCTGTAATACCTAAGCAGCACGTTTTCCCAACATAAACATTTTGACTTATGGCAGTAAAAATATAATGAAATAGGTTAAACATTAATCAAAAGGAAATAACTCAAAGTACTCAAGTTACGTTAGTCGCGGATACCGGTATTGTCACTATTAAATTATAATTTTAGTTGCCCATGTAAACCGGGCGCGATTTTCTCAGTTTAGTCTCTTTTCTTCGTCAAACAACTGTGACTACATTCACTACATTTATATGATGGCAACAATTTATCCGTCATTTCATAAGAATAGCCAAAATAGTTGCGTTGTAAATAATGTAAATAAACCGGTGCATATTATGTCTATGATGTGGATACTTCGACGCGTAAATCGATACAAAACAATATACTTACAATCAATACTGTATACCGCCAAAATGATTTGATTACTGCACAAAATGCCCGTTTTGTATAGCATCATTTATGTACTGTATGCAGAATACAAGGTATCGACTTGCTATCGACATAATATATATTCGTCATTCGTGTAAGCGATTAGAGATCTATCAATACATAAACAACACAGCGTCGTTTCTTTCTAACCTCTTATGTAGCTCTATTTATGGAATAAACCTTCCAAATTATATTTGTGTCGAATTGAATGCACGTAATTCATAACATAAGTTCATAAATCGCGTAGAATCTCAAAGAATTGCACGATTTTTACGCCTGGAATTTTTTGAAGCAATGCTCGTCGCTCCTCGTTTCTTTACATCGTGAATAATGTTGAAGGCTCGACGGCACATGCGCAGTTGCGAGTTGCGACGTATAGGAAAAAAATCGGGTGTACCGGGGGCAAATCTGCGCAAATCCCTTTGAAACAAAACCCAAACCGCGGAAAAGCAATGCTTCAAAATTTACAGTAACGGTCAAAATTCCTCAATATTTTGGTGAACTTAGCAAAAGGGATGTAGAGAATTAATAAATAAAGCAAATTAAACTGATTTAAAAACTTTAAATTACTGATCATATACAAAAAGGTACTATACGCATAAATCAATCTACCCCCCGTAAAGTTTACACTATGACTGACTGACTGTCTGACTGACTGACTGTCTGACTGACTGTCTGACTGACTTACTGACTCGTTTGAATTTTCGCCACTCATCACAATACTGCAAAGTTTCTCAAACTTTGCACTAAAAACAGAAGAATGAGCAGAAAATGACCAGTTCAAAAATTTGCATACAATTTACGTGCGTCATGACGGTGATGCTGTAAAACTCCGGCAAAGTAAAAATACTTTTTACATAATCCCTTGATATAAAGCCTATACACAATAGGGAGAAATTTCGAATAGAAAACAAATACAAAACCGTTGGGATGATTCACACCTTACCACGATCGGGAAGAAAACTATTGTTATCTGCTACTGCTGAGCGAAAATTGGTTAGGATGATTCGGAACAACTTTATCCTCACCTTCTAACCAAATAAAAAAGATATCATCAATATACCGTAGCCACACCCATGATTTTATCTCCTGTTGTTCCAAAAATCCCGTCTCTATCATGTCCATAAAGATACATGCATACGGCGGGGAAAATTTAGTGCCCATGGCCGCCGAAGTTTGACGATAGACATCCGAATTAAACTCAAAAATTTTCTTTTTAAGGACAAATTCCGCCAAATTAGTAAGATTTTCTGATGACACTTTTGTGTTCGCAGACCATCATCGTGTGGGATAATGGGGTAGAGACTCGTAACATCGGCCGTAACGATGCATTTTCCAGAAGTTTACCTATTTCTTTCAATTTATCCAAAAAATGCCCTGTATCTGGAATGTAAGATTTCCCAGCTCTCATAATAGGCTTAAGATGGTGGGCTAAAAACTCAGAAGCCTTTTTTGTTGGAACCCCACAATTCGAAATGAGAAGACGTCCTGGCACATTAAGTAACCTTTTATGAATCTTAGGTAGCAGATACAATCTACCTACCGTACACGAATTCTTAAAATTGTACGAAAAATACTTAAGTTCATTCTCAGAGATGTTTCTCTGCTTGTGAAGCCTGTTGAATATATCATTGCTTCCATTACTAATTACTAATTTCGTTGTAAACCTTCGTATCCCAGACTACCACGCACGACCGTCTGCTAGTTTAATAATGATACTTTTATCCTCTATTGACGTTTTCAACGCCAAGTCGCCAACCACTCCTTCTTGCTAAGATTAAATTTGTGGGTTTTCTTAGGGACAAACTCAAACAATTCTTTCTCAATTTGATTTAAGAACAACTCCAACGACGGACCGCCTTTTGGATTAGTACCCCTCCGGGTTGATTATTTAGTTTACTTGATGAAGATATTAAAGCCGAAACGTTGATAATGATTTTGTGATTGACTTATAAATGGCTTTTTGACAGGTGATTGCCTTATCATATTATAGAATTGAATAGAACATTCACTTCGTCTCTTTAGATGTGAAAGCAGTTAATTCAAGAATAAATATATTGATTGAATTTCAAGATTTAGTAACACAACAATGGAGAACACATTTGTGAAATGCATGGAAAAAAGAAGCGAAACATTGTTGTGGTCGGCTCTTTGATTTCTTCGATTGTGGTAATAATAATTGGTTAATTTTTTCAGTAATCTGGCAACCTTGATTATATTCCCTAGATATGCCCACTTATCGCGCGCAACCGTCATTTTGAACCGTATAACTTATGAAATTAATAATTATAGAGTTTTACATTAAATGTTTTGATTGAGCAAATAGCTTCTATTTTCCGAAATATTGAAAACGAGATGTGAGCGAAACTTATTTTTTAAAAGACAAAATATGTATGCATGCATGCACAAATCATACTCAGCGGTAGTGGCGTAGCCACCCTGACGATTTTGTCCTTACATGTAAATTTTGAGTTATTAAAATCATTGATGTCTTTAGAATTTCATTGTTTTCACGGTAGATGAACACCAAAATATTAGCATAGCGGGACAAATCGTCAGGTTGGCTACGCTATTGATCGTGCAAACGTACAGAAAACAATGAGTGACCTTCTGCCGGAACTTACCAAACACAACAATTATTCGTGTTGCTTCAGTTGAAAGTGAAATCGTAGTAGCCACTGTATCTGTCGATTTATCATATTTATCAATTTGTGATGTTGTTGTATCGAGGATATAATAATATCCATTTCCATCTGCAATGTCCACGGTTGTAATACTTCCTGATTGATCTGTTCCTATCTGTGAAGTCTGACCATCGTACGTTGTTTTTAATATCTTGTAATTTGTCTCAGAAGTAAATAGAATCCAATATACGGTTTTATTCACGGTATCGAGCGCAAGGTGAGTGCCTATTTGAGTGACACCAGAGTCAAGAGTTTGAACAGTTCCATCAGCAAGACTGTACCGGATGAGATTTCGATTGTTCGTAATATCAGTGGTGAAAAATATTGCTCTAAATATAAATTTTATATTAGGTGCAAGCGTATATAATATTATCATGTTGAAAAACAAAAAGTTGAACAACGTTTATTCAAATTAATTATTCATTTTCATCTGAAGAGGCTTGATACGATCATACAACGCTTCAATTTTCGATATATCACATTGCCAAATTATAAGAATGATTGCAACAAGTGACGAATATTATCAGAAAATGTTGTGTTAAATTTAACTTAAGTGCTTATAGAACATGCCGAAGTCACTATACAGGGTGTCTAAAAAAACGAAAACTATTAATAATAACAATAACAACAACAAGCCTAATTTAAATGTAATCATATTCACAATTACAAATTTTTCGTACTTAGCATTTTATAAGTTGCATTAAATCCTTACGGGCTAAAATTCGTGAACAGCTAGGGCATTCAAATTTTAACAATGACCGATTTCAATAGTTGCCGTTTTTTTGAGACACCCTGTAGATGCGAACGAAGAATATGTCCTGCTACGATACTGTTCCGATCCACAACATAACTATACTTATATCGAAATGATCCAATAGCTATGCTTTAAAGAGTTGCTACAATGGCCAGCAATTGTCGTCTAATTCTTTCTACATAGCAACCTTTTCGAGAGAAAACTTTTCGAAATAGCTGCGAATAAGACGTCGTAGTTCAGTGATCTCCAGTCTTTTTCTCAGAAGCGCTACAATAGATCAAGTATAGCCTATAAACCCACTGCGAGATGTCAAGGTTCAAATCATGCCTGGTACCATTTTGTTTGCGAATTGTTTTACGATTTGAACCAGCGACATTACCTTTCGGTTACTTCTTTGGTTTTTGATCGATTGAATTTTGTAATAAACATTCTTCATACTTAACATGCTTATATTGTACCTGTTATAAGGATCGATTTGCAAATCCCTGAAATCATTGTCTGGTGATACACCAATATCTGGTAAGTCGCTCCCATCATAGTCAATCAATTTAAGGTTGAAATCACCATCGGTGAGATAATAGACACTTTGATTCGCTGCATCAACAGCAAAGGGACCGAAATTTGATGGTACCGAAACACTTTTCAAATCACTCCCATCCAAATTTGAGTTATACAGTTTCTCACCGTCCTTATAATACCAAAGACGGTAGTTCAGTTCGTCGTAAGCAAGGGTAGCGCTTGGTGTCTTCACCAAGGCTTTAGATTCTCCACCATCAATAGAAACATAGGAAATGTGAGTGGCGTTTGAATAGAAGATGTATTCAATTTCACCTCCTTTGTCTATATTGACAAAACATTTAAAGATTTTAGTAGTGAAAGCAAACAAATAAATAATAGTATATAATTTATGTGCAAAGATTTGTATTGGGTTTAGGCGGATCAATAAATATAATTAAATTAAAAAATGAGCGAGACTGATGTTAATAAATTAAGTAAACTAAACTGATTGTATTCTAGAACCAATTAATGCATGCATGGATACTGAAATATTTGCATCGTGGGGGTAAAAATATTCAATCTAACGTGGCCATTTTGCGGTTCGACGAGTCTTTTCATCAGAATATCCAAGCTACACTTATGTACATTTGTTTGTTTCAAGTTTTTCGCAGTGTTTTTTAAGAATTTGTATGCAATAAAAACATCTGGGGCCGTTTAAAGGCAAATCTTTACATCATTTTTTTGAATCGCTTGTTTTCATAGTTGAATATCTTTCTCCAAAAATATTTTCTGGTCTGACAAAACCCATATTTTGTAAAGATTCTAAAATGAACAGCGGCTCAGAAGCACTTAACTAAAACGGTGGATTGAAATTTAACCCAGGGTTATTATACAGGGTGTCCCAAATAATAACGAAAACGATTGTTAGAGTTTGAATGCCTAAGCACTCTGTTGGGACCCACAAGTGTATAAATGTTTGCCATACGCATTTTTATGCATTATGCAGTAAAATTTGTTTGTACCCCTTTGTTGACCTTTGTTGAAAAGCGTTTCGCACTTCCGTTGTACTTTGGGTAAGCGTATAATTTATCACAAAAAAACTGTTGTTTCGCGGTTAGCTGTACCATTTTCTTTCAAAGCAATAACAAGGAATCACAAAGCAATCACATTTTCAAATTTTTCGTATTTAGCATTTTATAAGTAGCATTAAATCCCCACGGGCTAAAATTCGTGAACACGACATTCAAATTTTAACAATGAGTGATTTCAATAGTTTTCGGTTTTTTTAGACACCCTGTAGTTGTTCAAACAGGTAATTTGAAACACGTGTTCATCATTTTGTGGCATATGTTAGGGTTGATAGCGGTGGAATGATTGGTTTTTTGTTTTATGTATTTATATTTAAGAATTAGTCGCCGAAGGCGAGGTGATTACAAGCCTAGTGAATATATAGGCTTGAATATCACTGAGCCTGAGGTCACTAATTGTTTTAGTGTAATTTCAGTATTGAAAATGTTTACTTAATATCGATAAAAATACTTATTACATTCATTTTGCAATCTGATTGGTTAAAAATGGTGTGATTAATTCCTAAATCGCACTTTGAGCATTAATCACATCATTTATTCATTCATCATTCATCATAAGCCAATAACATTGAAGCTCTGCACCACCATTATAACCTATCAGATTTAGTATTTCAGTGCAACTATCCAATCAAATTACAGCGGAAAATGGCACAAATTTTTTTTAGTTTGAATTTTTAAATCCCCCGCAAAATTCCTTGACAAAAATATATGAAAATTACTCACAATTTACGCCGTTTACGGTTACGGCACGGTTCTTTCAGCCAATAAATCGTTTTGAATTTGTTTAAATTTTGTGTGATTTCAAAATGAATATAATAGAGTGGAAATTACACTTCCGGTCGTGCAATTTTGATGTGAAACCAAACTTGTGATTAAAATCACCCATTTGTAATCATGCGTTGGATTTCACACCAAATAACACTCCAGTGCCATTTCCATTATAAATATAAACAGAGTTTATACTGAAATTATACTAAAGACGTATAGGTGAAGATATGTATGAACTTGTAAGTGTTATCGGAGTGCCCTACGCCGGCGATGTAACTGAGTGCCAGGTTTGGTAGGTAGCTGCATATTTGAGGCCAAACAACATCACACTAGTTCTTTGTTTCCTTTGTCTTTGCCTTTTGTTTTCTTTGTTTTCTTGATAGCACTAATGACAATTTGGCCTCAAATATTTGCATATCTACCAACTCTGCTGAATACCGATGTAACCGTTTACACTACACTGAATTTATTGGCACGGCACGGCTAAAATAGGTCACGTGCCCAATTTTATTAGTGCTCAGGCTACCAAAACAAAGGCCGGGCATAGATGCAATGGGCACGGCTACCCATTTTAGCCGTGCCGTGCCAATAAATCGAGTGTAGTGTAAACGGGACTTAAGTCTCCTAATTTGGACACCCGTAACTTATTCACTCATTCGCATCTATCAAAGGAGAAAATCGCACATAAAATCACAGCAAAAATGTAAAAGGGTAAACGGGGCTTAGTGTGGGACTGAACACCAAAACTCACCTATGCAACTTTTTTTATTTCCTTTATATCCAGATAGACACTCGCAAGTGTAAGAACCATCAGTGTTTGTGCAGTTTGCATTGTAACCACAAGGAGCACCCAGGGTACATTCATCGATATCTGCCCAAATGAAAATGATGAGGTTAAGTTTGATCATTAGATATTTACAGGGTGAGTAAATTAGCCGAGAACTTATGGCTGTGTACAATCAACAGGACGTGGTCGATTAATGCGAAAGTGTTAAAACCAATAATTCAACTAATTCAACGTGGCGCATGTGCTAGAAAAACGGATCTTACAATGCATTTTAACAGAAACTTTATGTTTTATGTTAATTAATGGGTTCACTTATTTGATATGCTTCATATACCCATGAGACATTTTAGGCAACTTCTGTCACATTAGAGTTAATTTGAATTTCAAAGCTGTCAGTTTTTTTTATTCGCCCTGTATAGCATCAATTAGTGAGTCTTTTTTTTTCTATTCTAAGAAGTGCACGCATGCATTGCGCATTGAAAATCCGCGTATTGAAACAAGATCAACGCCAGTAGACAAAAACGTGATTCACGCTGCCTCAAATAAAAAAAGAAATTTTATTATATTATCATCTTCAACATTTGTGCCTTCGTCAAAAGATTTAGTCTGGAAGACGATAGATCTCATAGCTATTGACTGATCCATCATACCGTTCTAACCTTCAAGCATGCACATTTTACAAATACTTTTTGGAGGTCATCAATTCCTCAAGGAAATAAAAGAGATAATCTAATATCCTTCTCTAGATTCGGGCAACTGATTTTTTCTATATATAACGCCATTTCGGACCTTTTCAGGCTATGCGTTTGTCTCTTGGACCTTTTTTATATACTAAGCCTTTTTTTCCGCTAACAATTTATTATTTATATTAATGTCTGCTTACCTTCACAATTTGTTCCTATCCCAGTATATCCTTCCTTGCATGTGCAGAAATAACTTCCTGGCGTGTTGGTGCAAGTCGCATTATCATGACAATAACCGCCAACACAACATTCATCCAAATCTGAAAAAAATATTTTGGATGTATCGTTTGTCAAATTTCATGTTATTATATCATTATCCATTTCTACAGAAATTCATTGTTTTCACAATCAATAAACACCACAATATCAGCATAATAGCAGGACTAAAGTTGTCGCGCTGCCTACGCCACTGTTGTTTGTTCCAAATTCATAGCACTTGTAGCACATGACTAATCACTTGAGCAAATAACTTAAGCAAATACAGAAGAAAAC